CACCCTCTCAAGCAGCCTTTTCCTCCAGGGGAACTGGCCACTGTGGTCCGGAGATCAGTTGTAATCCCAATAGATCTTCGGGCCCCACCTGGAAGTTGGCAACCCTGGATTGCTGTAGCCACTTATGGCCAGCGCAGACAAAGTGCTTGAGCTCACTGATGCTTTGGGCCTGGAACCTGGGCCAGTTTGGTGTCGTGGTTAAGTGCGCGGACTCTAATCTGGGAAAACCGGGTTTGATTCCCCACTCCTCCACTTGCATCTGCTGATGTGACCTTGGGTCAGTCACAAGCTCTGGCACAGCTGTCCTTGAAAAAGAGCAGTTTGTGTCAGAGCTCTCTCAGCCCCGCCTACCTCACAGAGGGTCTGTGGTGGGGAGGGGAAGGGAAAGGAGTTTGTCATTTGGGTAGTGAAGGGCGGGATATAAATCCCATCTCTTCTCTTCTTCTACTTCAGAACCTATTCTTGCTGTAACTTCTGTCTCATTAGGTTAGAGCTGTGGCCCTCTGTTTTGCATGCAGAAGGTCCCAGGTTCAATCCCCAGCATCTCCCGCTAAAAGGACCAGGCAGTGGGTGATGGGAAAGACCTGAGACCCTGGAAGCTGCTGCCAGTCTGAGTAGGCAATACCGACCTTGATGGACCAAGGGTCTGATTCAGTAGAATGCAGCTTCCATGTGTTTCATTCTTGAAATATCTCTCTCTCTCTCTCTCTCTCTCCATTCCCCTACTTCGGCCCAACCTGTTTCTTTCCATATAGACTAAAGTGTAAACTGACTTGAACAGAAAGAACTGGATGAGAAGAGAACTAAACTTCCTGTTGCACAGGAACAAAGCATAGCACAATCATGGGAAGCCATTCTTCTTGGGTTGAGTCAGAGGGAATTGCAGGGTGGACAACATTTTAACCATACCTCTTCGTACAGCTGCTCGACAACTATATTGCTCCCAGTTAGCGTGCTCTTCAGCTGAGTGACCAGTTTTTCCATTTCAGCAATTTCCAGTTTCACCAACTGAAAGTCTAGCTCAGTGTAAGAAACGCTGGTCTTCTCCATGGCCTCGACCTTATAAGTTACGTTCCGGATCTTTTGTTCATAGATTTCAATGGTTTTGGTATACTGGGTGACCTATAAATACACAGATGAACGCATTCTGTTTTAGCAAATGTATTTAAGGCTGTGTCTTGCTGTGCCTCACAATCTTGCCTTGATCAAACTATGATCTACATGGGTACAACAGAGTGCAGCAGCTAATCTATGACTGTCTTTATTTTTAGACCCAGAATTCAGAGCCAAGATTACAGATAAATGACACAGATAAAGCAAAATGTCTGCAGGACAGGAGACATGTAATCTCCGATCAGCTCTTTTCTTCGCAATTTTTTTATTGAGTTCAACAAGAAAGTGTCTAATTGTGCTCCAAAAGAACACCAAGTAGGGTTGTCAAGCAGTACAGGAGGGTTGGGGGCAGCATCTCAACACAAAAATTAAAAAAGAAAAGTAAGGCCATGGCTGCTTACCAGAAGTTCTGACCATAGAGTTCCTAGCAATTCCTAGAGCTATCCTTTGTCACTTCCAGGTAGATCTAGGAATCACCAGGAACTCTATGGTCAGAACTTCCTGTACATAGATGAGAGCTTATTTTTCTTTTTAATTTTTCTTGACAATCACACAGACATACACACCACCCCAGTGAGCATCAGAAGGTAAGGGCCACAATTACCTGGAGGTTTCCCATCATAAGCAAGCAAATGGGAACTCTAACTCATGCCATTTTTTAAAATCTGGTTAATTCCACTGAAGGGCAAATCTTATTGGGGAGTTTAGTACAAACCACTTTGCAGAGGAGGGTTTTCGGTCATGAGTCAGAGGCAAGCCAGGGCCCTGCAAAAAATACTTTTGAGTACGAACAACAGTAGGTTAAGTTTGTACTAGGGATGCTTGTACACCCGCCCATTTTCTCACATCCTATTCACTGGTGGTGGTGGTTGTTAGTCTGCCTTTCTTGCTGAGATTCAAGGCAGAACTCCATAGGCGTAAATCAACAGGATGGGACCTCCAACAAGCAACACGAGAGGGTGTGGACTACAGAAATCCGAAAAACAAACGAAACAAATAAAAATATCAAACAGAGCTGAAAGCATGAAGCTTCACACGTGGCACGTCAAATGGCATAGAAAATACCTAGTCTGGACTGTCCAAAAAACAAATGAAACAAATAAAAATCTCAAACAGAGCTGAACGAAAGCATGAAGCTTCACACGTGGCACGTCAAATGGCATAGAAAATACCTAGTCTGGACTCTACTTACAGTATTGGGGAGTGGACTACTATGGTGGAGGTCACACAGTCCTTCTCCCTTTATCAATGCAACTTTCTGAGCGTTTCATTACACTTCAGTTCTATTTCCCTGTGCAAAAAGCCTTTTTGAATAATTCCGTTTTGCATAGTTTGTGGGGAACCGGGAGACCGGGAGCCTCCCTGACCTTGTCAAGGCCATGCCGTAAGGTGGGTGCCACAAGAGAGGAAGCATGAGCATGGGTGCCCGTCAATTTTGCTCAATGGCAGGATGGTCCCTGCAGAAGCCCCTGCTGGGATGAGCAAAGCTGTCCTGGCAGAGCATAGAGAGGCAATCCTGCACGTAAGAGGGACCAGGGCCAAGAAAGGCTCTGTAGGTGATAGTCCGTCCTTTGAATGGAGCCCAGTAACTGATGGGCAGCCAGTGGAGTGATTGCAGACTGGGAGCAATGTGCATGTTCTGCATAACTCCTGATAACCTGGCCACAGCACTTTGAACCAACTGGAGTCTCTAAATGGACTTCAAGGGCGGACCTACACAGAGCGCATTACAGTAGTCTAGTCTCAGTGTTACCACAGCATGGATTCAAGTTGCCAGACAGGCCGAATCAAGGTAGGGGCCATCTTGCAGGCTAGACTGAGTTGTAAAAAAGTGTTTTTGCAGTTGCATTAACTTGCTTCTCCAGCAGTAATGCCAGATCCTGTATAACCCCAAAGCTCTCCACTGAGTCAGCAGGTGTTAGCTGAACCCCATCAAAAGAGGGAAGCGCGAGTGCCTTCGAGACATCTGCCTTCCCCCAGCCAGTATCATTTCTGTCCTCACTGAGTTTAGGTTCAAGCTATTTGCTGTCAGCCATTCAACCCCAGCGGTCCGGCAGGGCCTCAGGATCTCTAGTGCATCACATGGGGATTCTGATAGAGAGATGTAAAGCTGGGTGCCACCCGCATATTGATGACATCTACTTCCAAAGCCACAAACGCTTTCTTCTAAAGGCTTTACACAGAGATGGAATAACATGGGGAATATGTCTGATTTATGAGGTACGGTTGAAACCAGTCCAAGGCACACCCCCTGGTACCTAATGCTACCTCCAAACGCCTCAGTAGGTTGGTACAGTCTACCGTGTCAAAGGCTGCAGACAGATCCAGGAGGAGCAACAGAGAAGCATGACCCTTTGTCTTCATTCAGGCAGCAGTCATCAACTAAAGCCACTAGAGCCATCTCTGTCCTGTCGCCTGGACTGAAACCAGACAGGAAAGGGTTTAGAGCCCGCGAGTTATCCAGAAAGACCTGAAGTTGGTCTGCTACGGCTCTATCATTTTGCCTAGAGATCCTTTTTCCCCAGCTGCCTTCAGTTGGGGGGGGGTGCTATCAGGGATCCTCCGCCACAGCTGTGGATTTGAGACCATATCAGTGAGACTGAGTGACGAGGGTAGTGAGTGGAGCTTTAAGACAGGAGTCCCCGACCTTTTTGACCCTGCTGGGCAGGCACCCTTAGAATTCTGACACACGTTGGTGGGTGCAGCCACCAAATGCCGCTGCCACTGGAGGCAGAGCCAGCCACAAAATGTCAGGGCGGGAGGTGATGCATCACTAATAGTAACTCTTCTGCCCTTCAGGCAGAGTCTCTCTTTAGCAGGGCTCTTTTCTAAATGGACTTAGTGTTACAAGATATTTCCTTGCGGACTCAGTGACACAGTGAAGGTCTTTGTGCAGCTGCTGAAGCAACTTTTTTTTAAAAAAAAATCTGCACAGCCACTCAAAACTCCGAGGGCCACTCAGAAGCCCTGCAGGGCAAAAGCCCCACATAGCCCCGCCCACTTTCTGAAGACATTTAGCAGGCACCGGGAAAGGTGACCACAGGCCCTAGGGTGCCCCCGGGCACCACACTGGGGACGCCTGCTTTTACTCCGCAGCAGTCGAACATCTGCAGGCCTTTCCCAGAGAGACTTACCAGTCCTGCCCCCACAGCTTTCCCTGCTTTTGCCCACTCCCACAGTGCAAGAATTTGGCTCAGTCTGGACATTTCCCCATTCCACTGTCGTTCTCCACCGACGTCCTTGCAGTATCCACCAACTGCATTCACAGATGCAAATGAGAACCATATTCTTTGAAGGCAACAGACTCATAATTTACAGCTACATATTGTTGGCAATTCTCTAGTGAGACGACCTTTCCCATAATCTTATATTTAGCCAGAACGATCCCTCAGTACGAACAAATGGTTGAAGAAAGCTCGCTTTTGATCAATGACTTTTAGTGACACCCGGGGTCACAAAGGTCAAGCTCCACAATCTTTCTGCAGTACTCTAGAGGATATGAAGGTTGCCAGCTGGAGGGGGGGGGAATGTCCTGTCCCTTTGATGGAGGTTTAATGAGTGGAAACGGGCAATTGAAGCTTTTCATGGCATGGAGGTAAATAACTTCACCTGATAATTGCTTATAGATCAAAAGGATATTAAAGAGGAACCTGTTTAGCACTTGGCAGCCCTCCTCAGTTTGGAGACAGCGCAATTTACCCTTTGTTTTCCCTAAATGTGGAAATTGCTGTATATCTGCCTCCCTTCCTTTCCCTCTACAAAACATAATAACTGGAGGGGATGGGTTGTGTTTTACAGAAAGGTTTCTCTGATCCAATCCCACCAATTAAAGGCTCTCTGATTATGGGTATGTGGAGAAATGCATTTTGTTTCAAGGTTGGGGAGAAGTCAATTGCTTTTGAACATCACCCAAGTTCTAACCGTCAAAGCTCTGGAAATGCTAATTGCCTTCCTGGCCAGAGACAATGAAATGGACAGCTCATGACTCTGAATCTGACACCTATAATGGACACAGACTTGGGAGTGCACAGGGCTAGACTGCATCTTCCTGGAGATTTCACTGGAAGATTCTTTGATACACAAGGGGGTGGGAAAACAGAGGAGATAACATCCCTTGTTATGGAGGGAGAGTGGACCATTTTGCAGGCCCCTTGTTTGGCTGATTCCATCTGGAGGAAAGAGCTCTCACACCTGAGCTCTGTTTTGATGGCTGCCATTGCTATATAGAGCACACAAAGGACTGGCTGCCTAGACAGAGACTCCAAGGTAATAGAAACCTTTTAGAAAACTGTAACCTCTAAGTTAAAGAGCCTGCCTTAGAACAAGATCAGATAGGGCATGTAAAGTGTGAGAGACAGGGGGGGTCAAGAGTCTACATCTTTCTTTTGCATTCCTTGCTTAGCCCATTGCTGTGCAGAGAGCATGTATGTGAACTTTTAAACTTTTAATAAATTCTTCAGTATTTTAAATGCTGGTAGTTGTTCTCCATACCACACAGACCTCCACAAATGGGCCCTAGAAAAAGCGAGGTGGTCAGTTGCTAAAAAGCTATTTCCCCAAGAGTGCATAAGCACAGTAAGTCAGGAGATGCAGGCAGGAGGGAGAGCCTTACAATGGCAATACAGAAAAGGAAGCACTAGCCTCACGGCTAAAATGATCAGTTGGTGGCAAGCTACTGAAGGAGAAGAGAATGACGGAAGCCCCCTCTGGCAGTGGGATGAGCCCAAAGACTGGTGGATTGCTGAGTGGAGACTCATGAAGTCACTGGGTACCTAGATGCCTTGGAGGGCTGAACAGACTGATGCTCACAAGCCAGCAGAGGTGTTCTGCCACAGGGTACATTTAGGGGGTATTTGATTTGGGAGGCTCTCGGGTGTATTAAGAGGCCGCCCAGAGTCATCCCACCTAGAATCACAGAGTTGGAAGGGGCCATAGAGGCCACCAAGCCCAATCCCCTGCTCAATGCAGGATCAGCCCCTAGATCATCCCTGACAAGTGTGTGTTCATCT